TGTCCAGATAGATAGATAGATAGATAGATAGATAAATAGAGAGAGAGAGAGAGAGAGAGAGAGAGAGAGAGAGCACCACTGTCCAGATAGGGCAAGAGGACCCAGGAGGATTGAGGAGCGTGACACATGTTGCAATCATTTACAGCTGCATCTAGACTGAAAAAGTTGCATCAAACACAGAAGAAAACGGAGGGTAGAGTGATGGAGGGGACCCCTAACTACCGTCTTCACCCAAACAGAACGCCTGGTCCTTATCGCTGTATCTAGGCTGAAAGTTCCATCAAATACAGCTATAATGGTATGTTCAGGGAAAGACGGTGCAGTGTGACACATGTTGCAGCCAAACATGAGAGCAAGGAAAGGACGCCGGGTTCATTACAGCTGTACATGGTATGAAATTTGGACCCGATACGATCGCACCAAACCTGTGATGGACAGGATTTTATCAGCTACAGGTCCGCAGATGGTACACGCTCGACCCTTCCAGTTCCCACCAATCGTTGCGGGCTCATTATAGCTCTATATGGCATGAAAACGAGAGAAGGTTAACCGACCCCCCAATTTTCACCCTCGTTTATAACAAAACCAAAGGGTCATTTTAACCATACTTTACACCAATCTGTAGAGTGCACTTCTTACTAACACATTGTTAAAAAAAAAATTACAAACATATAAAACAGCAATCCAAAAGTGCACTTTCACGAAATTTCACCAACATTTTGTGATGAAAATTGGACCCGATACAATCGCAACGAACCCGTGATGTGAGCATGTGGCCCTTTGACAGACATCCAACAATGCCATACCTCACCACAAGTTCGTAAGAGACATTGGTGGGTAGAAAGCATACGCTTTCCATTTCCAAGGCTCCAAGCCATGAACTGGACCAGATACGATCACAATAAAGTTGAACGAAGCTGTGAATCGGATCGCATACGATCGCAACGAACCTTTTCGTCCCCATTTAATCCAACGATTGAGCTCAAACCACAAGCACCTTTCCGAGCCATTTTTCTCCGATGCGGCAGTCAGTTAAGGCACCGCAACTTGGGGGGAGCATGGCCTATCGGAGCTAAGTGGCTGATGAACCCAGCGAAGGAAGAAAAGGCCCACAGGGTGCTTCTACGCTCGGCAAGGGAAGGGTCATCAGTTCCGGCGGTTTAAACGACGAGCACCTTGCACGGCTACAGAACAGAAGGTGTCGGTTAACACCCAGGGAGGCTCAGCCTGCTGGACAAAAAAGGCTAGCGGTGTCTGTTAGACCTTTTACCCCTGACAGTGTGATAGTCCAGGGAGGCTCAGCCTACTTTACATTGGGCCATCTCCCATATTTGATGATTGCTTTTTTCCTCTCTCTCTCTCTCTCTCTCTCTCTCTCTCTCTCTCTCTCTCTCTCTCTCTCTCTCTGT